AGTGCACAGACATCCTCAGGGTCTACCCCAGCCCCCAACCCAGGACTGCTCCTCTTGGGTTCTGGTTTGAAGGGCAAGGGAGCTGGGGTGCTGTGGGAAAATGGGAAGAGAGGGGGCAGGTAGAGGCAGGGCTGGAATGGGGAGGGTTCAGGGAAACAGGCCAGCAGGCAATGGGCTGTGGCCTGAGACACCCTGTGACCTTGGGCTGGGCTAGGTTCTCTCCAAGGTGCTGACCAGCAGACCCTGTGGGGCCTCGGCCGGTCTGCATCCTGGCAGGTCCCAGTCCACCATCAGTCTGATCATTTCAGCCCGGACTCCAGATGAAGGGAGGGACGGACTGCAGCCATGGGATGGCCCTGCACCCCTTCCCCACCCACTCCCTCTCTGTGCTCCGCTTACAGGGGTGAGTCAGCCTTCTGGCCCTGGGTGAGGCTGGGTAGAGGGCTAGGACACATGTTTCACCTTTGCTGCAATCCCCCAGTAAGTGCTGGCTGGGAGCCTGCGCAGGCAGGGTATGGAAGACCGAATCCTCCTCCCCATAGCCCAGGGCCTGAGTCAAGAGTGCTTGTGGTCTCAGGAAGTCTCTGGAATCCTGAATGGTGCTGCCAGGTGGGATGGGCACCAGGAGGAGGGCAGGGGAGCCCTAGGCCACAGGCAATGTGGGAGACTTTGGACTCCTCTGTCCTGTCCTTCATCTGCCTTCCTGGGGTACAGGAGGCTCAGAGAGGAGGATCAGAGGTAGCTAAACCCCTCTGTCCCCTTCCCCCACCCCCTCCCCACCGATGTGGCCATGGCCTCCACCAGCTGTTACCAAACTTCCTTTGTCTGGAGTGGGAGCCAGCGCCTCCAGGGCAGGAGGAGCCAGGATTAATCCGGACACATGGCTTAATCCAGAAAAGATCAACTCGGGGTTTGAGAGCCGAAGGCATTGCTCAGGAGACAGGCAGCCTTGGAGGCTGCCGGGGAGACTGGGTCCACTGTCCAAGGGTCAGGCCCAGGCACTCAGCAGGCCGTGCCAGGACCTCGGGCCTCTGGAGTAGTGGCCTGATGGTCGAGAGGCCTCTGGTCTGGCCCGGGTTCTGCTGTGTGACCGAGCGTATGTCTGGTCCAGCCTCTGAGCCTCAATTTGCCTGGTGCGCACCAGGGTGCACGGCTGCTGTGGGACTGGACATTGTGGACATTGTGGCATGGACTGAGTGAGCAGGGATGAGAGGGGAACTGCTGCTGGGGAAGGCTTCTCGGGGGGTGAGGTGTCGGGGAGTGCTTTGAGCTGAACTGAGATGGGAAGGAAGGGAGCCATGCAAGAGAAAACAGCCTTGGGTGTCCCCACACAGGGGACACAGGCTGGGGACAGTCTTTGTTCTCACAGTCTGGCTGGCAGGTGGTCTCCGTGTCAGTCCCAGAGTCTGGTCCCGACCCAGCAGACCTGCCCTTTCCCTCTCTGGGCCTCAGCGGTCCCATCTGTAATTATCAATGGTCCCTGCCAGCTGTGAACAGAATCCAGGGGGATGAGTGGGCCGGGCAGCACTGGGTAGCTGATGAAAGGGTTTTCGAGGAAGTGAACTTGACACCGGAGTGGAGTGAGCAGCCAGGAACCAAGAGTAGACTTGGGAGGATTGAGGGGCCTGATTAAGAGGTGGGCAGGATCCCGGTACTGGCCCGAGCAGAGGGCCTGTTAGAGTGAGCAGCCACAGGGCACAGCCAGTTGAGCACGTTAAATATCAGCTCTCTGAGCTTCACCGCCCACATGTGGGAAATGGGGCTGGAACGTCCATGTCCCCCAGACCCTGGGTCGTCCAGGGCCACGTGGATGAACACCGGTGGGGACATGCTGCGCGCATACTAGGTGCCCTCCAGGCAGTTCTCCTCCCTCCCAAGCGTAGCCTGGAGGAGATGCCAGGGTTGTGGGCCCGGCCAGCACCCCACGGCCCCTCAAACCTGGCCTGTGGGGGGCTGGAGCATCTTCTCCCGCGGCCACCTGCCAGTGATCGGAGCAGCTCTCCTGGTGCAGGTCAATGGTTAACTTGTCTTTCGGAGATCCTGGAGCCGGGACCAAACCTGGGTGGAGAGCAGGCTTCAGGACAGGCAGTGGGGATGGAGCTCTGGGCCAGGAGGTGGAAGACCTGGGCCTGGCTGTCTTGTTCCTCGGAGCCGTAACTTCCCCATCTGCAAAATGGGACCTAGGAGAAGCCCTGTGCGGCATCTGCCCCGGTGAAGGGATGGACGTGAGGGCTTTGCCGCTCAGCCAACAAATGTGTCAGGGATGTGTCACCACGTCCCAGCTGGTCAAACGTTGTCACCTGCCCTTCCCACTCATCCCCACCAAGCCCTCCCAGGCCAGCAGCTGCCTCGCAGCCTCCCTCAGGCCAAGGCCACGCAAACAGCAGGGCACGAGGGAGGCGGGTCCTCCCGCTTCTTGGAAAAGCTTCCGTTCCCCTGGCATGCCGCCTGGGGGTTGGCAGAGACCGTCCTAACGTGGCAGCCATGGGGTTCTGGGGACGTGGACGGGCAGGAGGCAGGCAGAGGTGATGAGAGCCGTGTGGGGACTGGAGGTGGGGGCTGTCCCCAGGGGTGGGGCTGCAGGGGGTTGGGTGTGGGCCCAGGCTGGGTGGGGACCCAGGGGCAGAACGAGCTGTTGGCGCAGCCTGGGTAAATAGCACGGGGGACGCACAGCACACACGTGTGTTTGCATAGAAGGACTTGACATGCGTCCAGGCCTGCCCTCTGTCCCCCGAAACCCCACACCCCTTGGCCCCTGCCCACCCCACCCCACCCTGACCTTTCCTTCCTTGTCAATTAAAGGAGGCCTTGAAAGGTAGGATTCGAAATTAAAGGGAACACCCTTCCCGCTGGCGGGCACTTTTCTCTGCCACGGGGCACTCCGGGCTGCCATGTCAGGTTGGGAAGGTTGGACACTGAACCAGGGTGCCTGGCTGAGGGGGGCACTAAGCCCTGCCAACCCCAGAGGATGAGATGGCATTCTCCGAGTTGCAGGCAGAGGTCTAGGGGGCTGTAGCTAGAGGTGACGTCTGAGCTCGCTACTTTGTCCCATCTGCAGGGACAAATGGGGCTGCCCCAGCCTGTCTCACAGGGCCGGACACCCTCTCTCCCCACGGCCCCAGGGGGCACCATAAACTCTGCCATGAGAGGGTCTACCTGTCCTTCATGGAAGCCTCTCCCTCTTTCCAACCAGACGCCTGGGAAGCAGCGGTGGTCCCCAACCTGACGGTGCATTGGCAGCCCCTGGGGAGTGAGGTAGCCGCTCCGGGGTGGGTCTGAGGACGGGGCTGCAGGCCCGCTTCTCTGAATGCTGGATCAGAGCCCGTGGGCCAGGAGGGCAGGGGTGTGTGGAAACTGTACATGCAGCAGAAGCTCTGTCCACTAGGGTGTCTCAGACGGCCCTGGGTGGGGCCCTCGGGGCCGCAGCGGTTGTGCCTTCGACTGCTACCCACAAGGAAGCCCCCAAACCGTTCCTCAAGAACACAGGAGGCTTCCCGGCCCAGAGACCCACAGGGGCAGCTCTGCCCCGTCCTTCCGGCCCTGCGGGTCCAGGGAACACTCATGAAGAGCGAGGCTTGACCGCTCCGGGGCCTCGGAGAGAGGCCTTCCCAGGCTCAGTCCATGTCCTCCTCCTCCTTTCTAAGAGTCCCCTGTGCGTTAGGGAGGGTAGTCTGTGCACCAGCTGCCCCCAGCACCACAGCCCTGATTTCTCAGTGAGCACCGAGCCCACGGACCGCTGGGATATCCTCTCACTCTGCCGTGGAGTCCATGAGGCTGGAGCTCTGTTTTTTTTTCTCTCCTTCCCTTGTCTACACCCCCCCCCCGGCCCCCCAGGCTGTAGCTCTTTACAGGAGCAGAAAGCCTCATCTTTCTCCCGAGGAGCAGCTGGTGGATTTGAACTGCTGACTTTCTGGTTAGCAGCCCAATGGATAACCACTGTGCCACCAACCCAAACTGCAAACGCACTGCCATGGAGCCGAGGGCTACTCTTAGCATCCTGGTAGGGCGGGGTAGAAGCGGGCTCAGGAGCGGCAGAGCCTGGGGGATAGATGTGTGGTGAGGGGCTCTGGGGACAGCAGTGAGGAGTGCTTATCTGCCTGGATGAGGGTCTCAGGGTCCCCTGGAGCCAGGGCCGTGGAGGCCAGCAAGTGGGCCACCTCTCCAGGCAGTGGCACACCTCTCCAGGGCTGGAGGGAGGAGAGAGGGCCTGAGAGCTTGGATGGGCCAGTCGGCAGCCCGCACCGCATGGGGGGACCGGTCCTGAATGCAGGGGGCAGGCGCACCTGTAGGCTTTGGTCACTAGCCGCCTCAGGAACGACACGCTGAATTTGTTCATGTCCCCCCGATGGCCCTGTGTGTGTGTATGTGGAGGGAGGGAGGGGCGGGACGGTTAGATAGCACCGCTCCCCGACACTTGTTTGTGTGTTCCCTCACCTGGGGATGCTGATGGTAGTCTTCGGGCTGCTGGCCGTCTCCCTCCGGGTCCACCCGTCCATCCCCCTTCGAGGGCAGAAGTAAAGGAAAGGAGTTTGCTGCTGTAGGAAAGATCTAGGTTCCCTCTCAGGACTGCAGGCTGGGATCTGAGGGTGGGTCCAGCCGCAGAAGCTCGAAACATCAGGGGCTCCTTCTCTAAGCCTCAGTAGGTGCATCTGCCAAGTGGGCCTAATTGGCCATCCACGGGGAGGCCTGCAGGCTGGTGAACACACATGCACATGTAAACATGTGAGGGTCCCGGGCAACCTGCCTCTCTTAGAGAGGCCATAGAGCTACCCATTTACCCCCCTACCCCACCTGCTCACTGCTTGTCCTTATCTGCCCAGTCTTGTCCCAGCTGCTGCCCACCGACCCGGAAGCCCTGACTCGTTCCCAGGCCTGGCCCCTGGGCCCCTCATCCCTGTGACCAGCTTAGCGGGCCCCATGGGCACGGGGAGGCGCCAGAGCCTGACTCTCTTCCCTTGTTGCCTTGTGCAGACGCGGCCGCCAGCCCGAGCAGCAGCGGCATGGGCAGCGCCAGCCCGGGCCTGAGCAGCACGGCCTCCGGCCGCCTGCTGCTGTCCGCCGACTCGGCGCTGAGGACCGGCCTGGACAAGGCAGCGGTGGGAGCACTGGGGCCCGAGAGACGGGACTGGAGCCCCAGCCCGCCTGCCACGCCCGAGCAGGGCCTATCCGCCTTCTATCTCTCGTACTTTGACATGCTGTACCCGGAGGACAGCGGCTGGGAGGCCAAGGGCCCCGGGGCCGGCGCTCAGGAGGAGGCACCGGAGGAGCCTGAGCAGTGCCCTGTCATCGACAGCCAGGCCCCGGGGGGCAGCCTGGACGTGGCCCCCGGCGGGCTGGCCCTGGAGGAGCACTCGCTGGAGCAGGTGCAGTCCATGGTGGTGGGCGAAGTGCTCAAGGACATCGAGACAGCCTGTAAGCTGCTCAGCATCACCGCAGGTGAGCCCCGTCCCCTGCAGGCGGGGCGCCGGCAGGGCCTGGATGGCTGCGATGCGGGGGTGGGGGCATGGCCTGCAGGACTCTGACTCTTCTTGCTCCCCCATCGCCTCAGGCAGCTCGGGAGAGGCTGCCACTTCTACCCACAGTGAGCCTGGACCGGGCGGTGCTTCCCTGTCTCCACGCCCCACTCACGCTCAACCAGTACCCTACTTGGTAGGTGCCGGATGACGTAGCTCAACCGCCTCTCAGACACCTCTCTGCTCTCCCTTCAGTCTGTTCCAGCCACATTGGCCTAGACCTCCCACCCAGGACTTCTGTACATGCCGGTCCTTCCGCCTGGAGGCTCCCACTCCGTCCCTAGAGTACACTCATCTCCATCCTGCCTGGAATATCCGCTTCAGGTTCCCGACTCAAACGGCCACTCAAAACGCCCACCTCCTGCTCTTCTCCCGCTGCCCAGCGCGACACGGGGCACCTTCGGCTTGTTTCTCCTGCACCCTGCCTGTCTCTGCAGCCGAACGCACGCCCCACGGGCTGCGGGCTTTCATGGGCTTTGCTCACTGCTCTGTCCTCGGTTCCTGGAATAGCACACCTTGCACCAGGGCTGCAAATTGGTTGGAAATGGTTCCGTTAAGGCGGATGGAAACAAGGGCTGCTTCAGGTTGCATAGCAACCGAATCTCTTTGACCCAAGTAGGAAACGGGCAGCTGTGCCCCACTCAAAGATGGTGGTGGCCTCTCCCTTGAACGTGTGCCTGCTGACGTCTCTGAACCGGTCCCCCGCTTCCTTTTTCCTCTCAAAAGCTCACGGCCATCGGGTCGACTCTGCTGCCCAGTGACCCTGTTGGACAGGTAGAACTGTCCCTGTGGGTTTCTGAGCCTGGAATCGGCGTAGAAGCCCTCCTCTTTCTCTCTTGGAGCAGTTGGTAGTTTTGAACTGCTGACCCAGTGGTTAGCAACCCGATGTCTCAGGTCAAAATCCTCATGTCCCTGAGACTCAGCAGCTGGGTAATGCGAGCACAGTGTGGAGCGACCCGTTTGGAGCCCGTTTAAAGCCCCGCCTTGCACCTAACAGCTGCTCAATGCGTGCTTGCTGTGTGCCAGGCACTGTGCTAGGACTGGGGGACTGAGAGGGGAACTCAACACACAAGCCACTATGTGCACGGAACTTGGGGTGCAGCCAGCTGGCCACACCCATCCATACAGCCCCCACAGGGCGGGATGGGGACATCAAGGGCTCGAGCAGGCTTGTGACTGACCGGCCTGGATGTGTGATTGTGGAGCAGACAGTGCAGGTCCCCAGTCCCTGTCCCCCGTTATTGCTCCAGCTTTGGGGAGGTCTGACTTCTCTCCCAGGGTCTTCGTGCCCAGGCATTTGAGTGGCTCACGCTCTGTGCTGCTCCCCACTCCCCACCCACCCCCGCAGGAAGGTCCTTTATGGACGACCCCCTCGGCCCCAGGCCCAGCTTCTCCTCCAGGGCCTCATCTGGGGCTGGTCCCCCACATCGCCCCCAATTGGTGTGCCCATTTCAGGCAGCTCCATGGGCACCTCAGTCCTCCAGGTTCCCAGTCCCCATGCCCGCCCCCGTAGCTTTCCCATGGTGCCTCCTCTCCCACTCGGGGCTGGGAGGGGTGTGTTCCCTGAACAACTGGGGCAAGAACAAACTGCTCTGACCACAGGAAGAAAAATGGCCTTATTTAGCAGGGGCAGGCCAGCCAGCAGGTCACCCAGCAGGGACACTGACTCAGACCACGGTGTTCACTTGGTGGACCCATTGTGCCCCACCCACAGTCTGGCCCCCAGCCTGGACTGCCAGGCGCACCCAGAGCAGCTCGGCCTGAGCCAATGTCCCTCCACTCCCCCACCCCCACCCCTCCAGGCCTGTGGCTGTCCCCACCATTCTGTGACCTGCCTCTCATTGACTCCTCCCTCGTGGAGGGAGGCACCCACAGGCGCTGGACACTTAGTGTCTGCATTGCTACGAGGCCCTGGGTGTTGAGGGCTGGAAGTTGGAGGGCTCACACCTGGCTGTGTTGGTCTCTGACTCTTTGATGAGCTCAGAGAGGGCAAGAGGCATGTGGGGAGAGACCCACTTTGATGTCACTTCACTATCCAGGGCTGGGCTCCCCCAGAAGACCCTGGGAGGGGCTGGGGGTCCCTGGGAGGCCCTGAGGCCCTGGTGGGGTGAGGGACGCAGAGGCTGAGACTGCCCTGCCCTGAACCAGGTTTGCTTTCAGGGACCTGCCTTGTTCTTCTCACCTGCCTGTCCTCTCTTCTTGGGCACCTTCTCTCCTAGATCCTCGGACCCCAAGCAATTCCCAGGCCCCTCCAGTCCCTCTCTAAACCTGGCCTGTCCCACCTCCCCACTTCCAGGAGGATATGGCCTTGGGCCACAGGCTCCCACGGGTGCCCATCAGGCCACACACCGGGCGCTCACCCAGCCCCTGGTGTCTCTTGCCCAGACCCCGTGGACTGGAGCCCTGGCAATGTGCAGAAGTGGCTCCTGTGGACAGAACACCAGTACCGGCTGCCCCCCGTGGGCAAGGCCTTCCAGGAGCTGGCGGGCAAGGAGCTGTGTGCCATGTCTGAGGAGCAGTTCCGCCAGCGCTCGCCCCTGGGGGGCGAACTGCTGCATGCCCACCTGGACATCTGGAAGTCAGGTCAGTCCATGTGTGGTATGGGGGGAGCCAGGAACACTAGGGGGAAGGGGACAGTGGGCCCCGGAAGCAGAATGAGAGGGTCTCCCGCCCAGGGAAGGAAAGCAGACTGAGCTCCATTCTGAATCTCAGGCCCGATTGCAGTGAAGCCACTCTGAGCCCTGGTCAAGGCCACAGGCCTTCAGGACCAAGCACAGCGCTCACGAGGGGTCAGGCCATGAGGACACGGACCACAGGGACCCCCGGGACCTCCGGGGCTGCTGCGATTTCCCTTTCTCTTTTCTTTGGCATTTGTTTTGTTTTTTCCTTGAAGAAGTACTGAGGTAATGAGTGCCTCTCAACAAACACAGTGGAAAATAGTATGCAATTGAAAAGTCATATTCTCTCTCACCTCTGACCCCAGCCTCCTGAACGCCTCCCCAGAGGCCACATCCTGTCAGTTCCTGTGGCAGCTTTCCAGGAGGCTTCGTGGGTATGAATTGGGCCACTAACCACAAGGCCAGCCGTTCAAAGCCACCAGCTGGCCCTCGGGAGAAGACGGGGCTTTCTAGTTCCCTAGAGAGTTCTAATCTCGGAAGCTCCCGGGGGCACCTCTCCCCTGCCCCGTAGGGTCACTGTGAGTTTGTTTGTTTGGGGTCACGTTTCCAGGACAAGTCTGCACATGCCCTGTGCAGATACAAGCCGTCTGTGTTCTGATTCAGCGACTCTGTAGGACAGAGTAGAACTAACTGCCCAGCTGGGTGTCCTGGGCCGAAATCCGTATGGGAACCAATCACAGATCTTTTCTCTCGAGGAGCTGCTGGAGGCTTCCGAGCCGAGCATGTGATTGTTTGACCACCGGGCCTTCTCTCTCTCTCTAGACAGATATAAATATAGATTGATAGATAGAGATATTGGTTTATTTGCATACCAGAGTATATGGGTGGTTTACATGCAGAATCTGGCACCAGGGTATACAGACTATTGGCATAGTCTGTGTTTAGATAAGCTATATTTATATCTCTCTATCTATGCAGCCCTGGTGGCTCAGAGGCCAAGTTCACTGCTGCCAACCAAAAGGTTAGTGGTTCAAACCCAGCAGCTGCAGAAGAAAGAGGTGGTGTCACTGCTCAACAGTCGATCCCGACTCCTAGGGAGAACCACCCCTGTGGATTCGTGAGGCTGTAAGTCTTTATTGGAGTAGAGAGTCTCGTCTTCCTCCTGTGGAGGGGCCGGTGGTTTCGAACTTGCGCTTCACCACCGAACCATCATCACGATGCGATCAGGACTCACTGTGCTATCAGGCTTACTCCATAAATGATTTAATCGGAGCAGGGAATTCTATGCAGCTGTACACCGGAATGTAAAGGGTGCAGCTATGGACCTCGCAGGAGGCAGCTGTACTCTGTCCTATAGGGTCGTTATCAGTCTGAATTGATTGCAGAACAACAGGGTCAATAGACTGTGACTCACAGTGACCCTGTAGGGCAGAGTAGAACTGCCCCACCCCTGTAGGTTTCTGAGACTGTACCTCATCATGGGTGTAGAAAGCCTCATCTTTCTCCCTTGGAGCTGCTGGTGGTTTCAAACTGCTGACCTTGTAGTTAGCAGCCCAACGCAGAACTCATTACTCCAAGGGGCTGGCTGCAGCCAACTCCTAATATTTAAATTGTCTAGACGAACACCAGACATCCATCTGTGCTTTGGGGGAGGCAGTGCTTGCTTAAGGAAGCCAGGTCCTTCCCTAAGGGACCCAGATGAATGAAGAGGCGGTGTCTACTTGCACGACCCAATCAAAGGCCCACATCCTGCCCAGGGGGTCAGTCAGTGCCAGACTGAGACCAGCAGTGACATAGCACAAACTGAGCTAGCCTGGAATCCCTGTCCCTCTGAGGCTGCCTCCCACACCCCACTGCTTGGGCTGGGCCTGGGAGTGCCAGGGAGGAGTTGCGGGCCCTGTGGAGAGCTGCAGGGGCATGAGGAACTGGGTGACTTTGGCCTGGAAGGCAGGCACTGAGGGCAGTGCTGTGGGGATGTCATGACCTTGCGTCTTTGAAAGGTCTGTGAGGGGTCGTGGACCCACTTCACAGATGAGGCTGGGGAGGCCCAGCAAGGCTCGACTTCTGCTCTCTTTCTCTGAGCTCTGTAAGGCCCTTCCTAGCTCTGAAATCTTAGACTCTTCTTCCCAGACGGCCAGGAAGGAGGGAGTCCCAGAGACAGCCCCCAAAAGGACGTCAGTGGCCCCAGACTGTGGGGGTCTCTCTGGGTCCCCCAACCTCCTCTCCTTGCCCTGCAGCGGCCTGGATGCAAGAGAGGACCTTGCCTGGGGCAATTCACTACTGTGGTGAGCCTGGGGCTGGGGCTGGGGCTGGGGCAGGGAAGGTGCAGGGGCAAGGGGCCTGGGGCCTAGAGCTGCCTGGGGCTCCCCATTTCACCTGCACCCTCCCTGCTGCCCAGCCTCCACCAGCGAGGAGAGCTGGACCGACAGTGAGGTGGACTCATCTTGCCCTGGGCAGCCCATCCACCTGTGGCAGTTCCTGAAGGAGCTGCTGCTCAAGCCCCACAGTTACGGCCGCTTCATCCGGTGGCTCAACAAAGAGAAGGGTGAGTGGGTGCCGGCAGGGAGCGCTGTCGGGTGGGAGGGCAGTGGCGCGAAGGAGCCGTGGGGCCCACCTGTGTGCTGGCCAGGTGCCTGGCCCGGGGCCGGGCAGAGAGATGGAGCACCACCTGCCTGCTCCCAGTCGTTACCGTCCGTGTGCGACTTGCCCCCCTGTCCGTCTCCCTCGTCCCTCTCCATCCTGCGGCTGGTGGCAGCCTTTTCAAAATTGGCTGCCAGGTCTTTCCTCAGAGGCACCCGAGTGGACTCTGCCCCCCATCGCTACATCCGATCACAACATGGAGATAATTACATAACCCTGAGAATCATGGCCCAGCAACGTGGCCACATATATATATTTTGGGGGGGTGGGGGAGCGGGAACGGACACAATTCAATCCCAAACACTGAGTGAGAATTCAGGCCTACTCTGCCCTGGGGTGGATGTTTTTGTCCGTGAACCTGTGAAATCTAGACCACCCATTGTCTGCCTCAGCGGTACAGAAGCGCCGCGGTGGGCCCGGCGAAGGCAGATGTCCCTTACTGATGGGAGAGGCTGGATGGAAGGAAGGGAGAGTGGACAGCAAGCTCCCAGGCTGTCGGAAAGCCTCCAGCCGAGCGCTGTGCATTCGCTCTCGATGCTTGGCAATCCCCCTCCTCTCTGAGGCCATCTAGGCTGGTCTCTCTCCAAGTCGGAGACACCGCCCTTTCTTTGGTGGGTGGTGGAACCATTCGGGGGGGCTGCAACAGCAAACACCCACACTTGATCCTGGAGTCTGGGCTGTAGGACGCAAGGTTTTCATTGCCGGGGGGGATGCTCGTTAAATTTTGTTTTGGAAAGAGTGTGGTAGGTCAAGTCCATTTAGGATCTAAGCAATGACCCCGCCCTCCAGACTCTGGGTGTCGACCAGGCTCTCGGGCTTCTTGGGGAGACCTATCAGCCCCCCAGCTCCGCATTTGCCTTCTAGACCTCCTGGAACAGCAGTCAGCTCCCGCTGCTTCGGGCAACCCCATCATCCTGCTTCTCTGAGTGGCAACCCTACCTCCTCAGCCCCGTTTGTCTGCCTGAAGCCTCACCACCTTAGCTTTGGGGGGCAGCCGCATGCTCCTGACATACCCCAAGGGCAGCCCCAAAGTCAGGAGCCAACTTGGCAAAGATCAGAATCTGAAACTTAGGACACTGTCGTCTGACTCTGCTCCAGGAGACGGTGGCCCCGCCCTTGCTTCTGGTGCTCCTTCCAACCCTTCTGCTGACCTCCGAGCCACTCCGGCGGAGCAGCAATAGATAAACACCCCTTTGGCCTGTCTGCTGCCTGTCGAATGCTGAGAGGCCGATAGCAGTCTTTCTTTTCTCACTGTTGTATTTCTCTGTCCCCTCCTGTCCAAACGGATGTTTTCTTCTGCTCCTGTGATCGCTGGTTCGACCCCGCAGTCGCGGGCTTCTCTTCCTTCAAAGAGATTTTCCTGGCCACATCCTTGGTGAACAGTCCAGGAGCTAAGGCCTGATGTACAACAGACATTTTCAAATCGCCCACTTCTGTTTCCGTTTCGCACGGTTCATTTTTAAATCCATCTCTTGCCTCTTGCCTTTGACTCTGAGTGGCGAGGAGAAGCCATGTGGCGCCTTTAGGATTGCTCGGAAAACTCATCAGCCAGAGACCCCACTCCTGGTTCCTTTTGAGCGCCACCTTCCATCAGACACCTGCGCATACCCTCGGACAGGTCTTTGCTGCCTCGTACGAAGCATTGTCGTCCTTCCTCCACGGTCCGTCCGGTCTCACCAGCTGTTCCTCGCAAGCCTCATCGGACATCCTCGTTGCTAGCAGCCTTCTGTTGGTTGCTGGGGGAATATGTCTTTCCTGAGATGGGAGAGGCCTCCCCGGTCGCTCCCTTCATTTCCTGCTGGGCCCTCATCAGGATTGCTCTTGACGTCGCTTTGACCCCGTGACCAGTCTCTTCCGGGTCATGGATTTTTCTACTAGGTACCTTACTGCTCCTCCGGTTTGTAACCATCACTCCATTCCACAGTCACGTCAGCCCTCTGTCTGGGTCCTAGCGGCGGTCTGAGTGACCCGGCGCTGCATTCGCATCGAGGCCACCAGTGGGGCCTTGAACACACAGCAATGTGTTCTCTTGCAGCGGGGGGACCGGTCGTCAGGGTTCAGGGTGTCTTTTAGGAAGGTTCTCCGTTTTTGCCAGTTCTGGGAGAAGGCCCTTCCGTGCTCGGCTTCTGTTTCCGGGGTCCCTGAAGATTTCCATGTGCCTGGCATCTATTTCCCCCATCTCTTCTCTACCTTGCTTTTCATCTCTTTTATATTTTGAATCAGATGGACTCAAGACACATGACTGCTAGGAGCCACGCCCCCTCCGTGGGTGGCTAAGAGGCTACCCCTTAGGCCGCTAAGCAGAGAGAGAGCCTGCACCAATCTTGCCCCATTACCACAGCAAAGCAACCCACCCCCCAAGGGGATTCGGATGCAGGCCTACTGCTGCTGGTGTCCTTAGCAGCTGTT